TATATATATATATATATATATATATATATATATATATATATATATACCTGCTAAATTATATACTTTTTAATCACTAATATTAAAACATTATATATAATTTTATATAATATAAAAGTAAAAACACGCGACAGCATTACCTGTGCATATCGAAATAAAAGCTTGAATATTATTACGATGTTTGACGATTTGCATTTAATTTTATTACTTGTTGCTTCAAAATACCATAACCTCAAAGAATTATTATTACTTTGACATTATCATTACTCTTACATTTATCTTCAATTGGGTTGAATAATAATGTTTAATTGGCCATATTTTTTATAATTCACATAAATAACATACAGCACATATATACATTCAACGAATTTCATGGAATAAGTACGTTCGGAATGTTAACTATTACACAATAGGTCTAATAGCAAATTCGGTAGCGCACTGAGTGCAAGCTAAAGATGCCTTTACATGGAAGCATCGAGTGTCGAGCGTTAAAGAGGTAGCCAATCAACGTGCCTCTTTCCGCAAGAACTACAAGTATACTTCTGGGAGTCGATTCTAGGCCTGTTCTTTGTAGCTGCACTACTGAACTAGTGCAATAAGTTAGAGTGAGAAAACGTATATTTGTTTCACTTCAATATATTGCACCAGTTCAGCAGTGCAACTACAAAGAACAGGCCTTCTGTATCTCGAAACGAAGTGAAAATTACAAAAGTGAGCAAATATACTAGAATATTCGTAAATATTCATTGGTCAGTGCCTAGTGAATGTGCTCACTTTTGTAATTTTCACTTCGTTTCGAGATACCGAATTGACTCTCAGGAGCAAGAGCAGACCATAGAATATTACAGTTATAGATGGGTGATTATACTATTCTCTCGAATCCAGATCTCATTCGCTCTACACTCGTTATCGTAAGCACCCATAGTCAAAGGTTTGAGTCAAAAAGAGATAAAGAGAAAGAAATAGGAAGCAAAGAGCATATTGTAGATCAGGCTGTACAGTGCGTGAGCGCCCAAAAGGAACACAGCCAGAAAGTATATGCGTTTGATGCACATGCGTGCAAAGGGGACTCATTTAACACACTTATCAAATGTCTGGTTTTGTCAAATTACACGGTCACGATCAGTGCCATTCACATCTATTAAAGTAAATTAGTAAATTACTCTTCGACGCTAATGTTGAAGTAGAACTGGTGCAGTTCTTCAACATTCGACTGTCAGTTGACTGAGAATCTGCGTCTCGAACGATACGAGTTAACGAAGAGAGGTAGGGTGTCCACATAATGCATTTTATTTAGTATAATATAATACTTAATCGCATATGATTTTTATTGATTGTGTGTTAAATTATGACGATATATATATATATATTGATAGTGATATTGTCGTGATTTTATATTATCCAAATGAATTTCTCTTATAGCATGTAACAAAATTTTACTGGCAACGAAATTACTTTGATTTATGATTAAGTATTTGTGTCATTAGATTTTTAAAGATAAAGTAATCAACAGTAATTTTAATAACTGGTATTTTATTTATTAGAAAATATATTTTTTAATAGCTTTTGATTATTTCCAAGAACCTGATATTTTCATACAACATAAGATGTCATATCTAAATTATAAAAATACTTGGAATTATGTATAAGCTATCTTTCTTTATATAATTGGAATATTGCTTATACATATGTGCAAATATATAAGTCCTAGTAAAATACAACATGAGTATCAAAGATAGTGACATATATATGTTTACTCTGATTCCATATTGACATTGTTTATTTATAGAAAAAACAGAGTGATTAGACTCTAATGTCAGATATCAGAGACACAAGATGAAGCAACTGGGTGTAGCAGAAATTATGCTGAGATTGTGCCTACTCATCATTCTAATGACAGTTCAGAACAGCACAGCTGGTGTAGGACGCAAGGATCAATATCAAAATCTGATAGGTAGCCAAGGCTTATACAATGCCAGCGATGATGTAATGATCCTTAACGCTACAAACTTCAGGACAACTATATATGGTAGCACCAAGGGATGGCTGGTCGAATTCTATAATAGCTGGTGTGGTTTCTGTTATAGATTTGCACCTACTTGGAAAGCTTTGGCAAGTGATATTCTCTGTAAGTTTTCTATTTTGAGCAGATAATTATATAAAAATGGTTAATTAATCAATAGTTTCAACATCTATTTTAGACATATTCATAATAATGTTTTTGACAAGTTCTTAAATTCTGAGAATTACTAATGTTTCAAACTCTCTGTAACATTATTTATTCTACAATATATATATAATTATAGAAGGAACTCAATTTACGAGGCAAACAAAAACAATTAATTGGAAAATCTATGTTTATTTAAGGCTCTTAGATACTTGTCACAGCTATGTTAAATTGCAATGGTAATTGCGATCAGAGGTAAGGAATGACGCGCTGAAAATTCTTGCTTGTCATTTTTAAATGAAAAGATGTTTGAGTGAAAAAACACTTCAGAGATCATTTGCAAAACACATACAGAACTACGTTAAGTTTATGGCTATTTATTGACAGTCAAGAGAAAAGGTTAGTTTTCTGAGCATATCACAAGTGCACACAAGTAATGTGAAGTATTCTTTTATACAAATATTTTTTTACTTAAAAATGGCATGCAAAATTTTTGGGCATGTTCTTTCTCGCCTCTGACGTCACTAATTAAGAGGTCCGCGACAAAGAACCTCAAGTCCTCGTTTGTTTCTACTGATTTATTTATTTATTTTTTAATTCCATTAAAAACGATCTATTAGTGTCCCAGTTTTTGTAGTCACAATTCTATAGACGATATCATGAAGTTTTTTATTTATATGTATTCACATTATAGAAATGAATGAAAACAAAACCATATTTCAGCTTGGAACGACATCGTAGTAGTTGCCGCGATAGATTGCGCCAATGACGAGAACAATCCGATCTGTCGCGATTATGAGATTATGCATTATCCGATGTTGAAGTATTTCTCCGTGAATGCGCATCCACCGTCTCTGGGTGTAGTAATAGAGAAAGGAGACGGTATTGATTCAGTAAGACACAATTTAGTTAGTAAACTTGAAACAGAACAGCAGGAAGGACGAGGATCCACATGGCCTAACATTGCACCATATAGGTAATGTATCATAAATATTTCACACTTAAATCGCAATTTTGTTGCTAAAAATTTGCAAATTTGTTGTTAAAAAAGGAAATTCCATCCTTCGCTCTTCAAAAAAGATTCGTTCATAATATTTCCAAAACAACCTTACTGATTGCAGGAACGTCGAAATAACAGACGTATGGAAAACAGCTTCCAGTAACGTAAAGCATTTCTTCCTAATTTTCGAGGAAACAGATTCCCATTTAGGTACCGAAGTAATTCTTGATCTACACAGGATCAACAGCTTGCAGATACGCAGAGTGACCTCTGACAATGAGTTGCTGTGCGTGACGAACAAGGTGACAAAATTCCCGACTTTGATAGGCTTTAGCCGTAACGAATCGCACAGAGTAATCAACGTTAGAATACCGACGAGGCAAGGTGTTCGACGCGCCATCAAGGATTACGTGATTGCGAGAGGAGTGAATATCTACGGGGCGAGTACAATGACGACAACGACAACGACGATGATGACTACGACGACGTCAACGTCAACGACGTCGCGTGACGCGCATCAAACAACAGTCGCAGTGACGATCGAAAAAGCTCACGAAGGAGAACGACAATCAACACCGAAGAAAAAGACAGATGACCGTCTGTATCAGCTCGATTTGGAAAATGCACTACGATATTCAATCAATCACGAGATACCACTAATAAAGTCGATAGAAGACGAGAAAATGGAGGCGTTACGAAGATATCTAGCGGTACTAGCAGCGTATTTTCCTTTACAACGAAGCAATATGTATCTGGAGGTAATCCGTGACGTTATCGAAAGCAAAATCCGCGTAACCGGTGAAGAATTCAGTCAGTTAGTGAAGACAACGGAAGAAGAGATGTCGCCAGTATATTCGGCACCTCGTCGATGGATAGGGTGCAAAGGTAGTGCGAATTCGTACAGAGGTTATCCTTGCGGCTTGTGGACAATGTTTCATACGTTGACCGTGAACTTCGCGCTAGAAGATAGGGATAAGTCTCAAGCCTTCTTGCAGGATAATCCCGCGACAGTGCTGCGAGCGATGCACGGCTACATCAAGATTTTCTTCGGATGCGCCGACTGTGCCACTCACTTCGTGGAAATGGCCGCGAGGAATGGTATATTCGATGTGCGTAGCAAAGACGAAAGTGTGCTCTGGCTATGGCGAGCTCACAATGAAGTGAATGCACGGCTTTCGGGCGATAACACGGAAGATCCCGAGCACAAGAAAATACAGTACCCTTCGATTGAGCACTGCGTAAGCTGTAAATTTGCTAATGGTAGCTGGAACGAGGAGGAGGTGTTACGATATCTGAAGCGCAAATATAGCTATAGCGGCATTAAGTACGACGGGATTGACAATAGCGACAGTACCGATGGTATGATCAATGGCAATGGGTCGAGAGTGAAGAGGCCGGAGAGACTCGCTATGGAAGCCAAGCGTGCCACTTCCGGAGAGGGCCTGAATGGATTCGACATCAGCATCTGGCTAGTGTTGTATGTTATGTCGTCTGTAATATTCACGTTGGTATGTTCAAGAGAGCTCAAAAGTTATAAGAGGAGAATGTGGGCACAGGAGGAAAGTTATAAAAAGAAGAGAAGTCACATAAATCTGATGACTGTGTGATACTTCTCTTCTTTTTTTGCTTCAAACTCTACTCATCGCACGTAATCATTCTTGCGCGTGCAAAACATTCCTAAAACTAAATTTGCAAATATCGTCCCGATTTCGAGATGTTTTGACTAAAAAAAATAATGTTGTACAAATTCAAAGCATATAATATCTTCTGGCTCCAAGTTGTACATTTACGTCTGCATTGGCATATGCAATTCAACGGGGAAAACTTACCTTTGTTGGTGCCGTGTAATGTAATAAGTAAATAAGTAATTAATACTGCCAATAGCAAAGACGATAAAACCGAGATATTGCAGCTATATATATACAGTTAAGTATGTTACTTTCAAAAAGTTTTTATCTTAGTAAAAGTAGATTAAACTTATTTTAAGCATTTTAAAAATTTATTTTAACTATTCCCAGTATATAGGAAAGAAAAATGTATTTTTCGGCGAGTTACAAGGAAAAATTGAGAATTATTGCTTTAAGTATTTAATTCCAACTTATGGTTTAGTCCTCTAAAACTTGTTTGAAGATATATATATCCTTATTATAGAATTTTACATATATATGATATACAAAACTCGTCATACATAGAAGATATAGCAATATAGATATATACAATGGAATATATAATGTATACAATTGATACAGACATAAGTAATATATAACGATTATATTTATTTGATCACTACACGTATCTGAAGAGTAATGCTCTTATCACATATTTTCTTTAATATATTAGAAATTATGACCTTTATTCTAAGCTCTCTTTTTTATCGACAAAAGCGCTTTTCTAAGTATGGTATATAAGCCTTTTTATTGGTTTTCAGTCACATTTAGAGAAGCATTTCTATTGATAAAAAAGAAGTATTTCTATCAATAAAAGAGAGAATTCAGAATAAGGACTTATGTATCTATAATCGTCATAAAATAAGATCTTTGATCAAAGATTATAACATAGGTAGCGTGCAACATAAACATCCAACACTTCTTTGTCAGCATATAAGAGTTTTTAATGCTGTGACAAATAATTTTTTATCAAATTTATAACATCACTACAATTGTAAACCCTAAACGCTGAATAATATAAACATTACTGGTTATTGCAAGATATCAAACAGCAAATCGCATATTTACATATCCTTTTTCTATTTATATTTTTATATCAGTTTTATATACATTTTTTTGTTTATTTAACATTATAAAGCTTTATACTGTTTGAAGTAGGCATTCTAGTGAAAAATCGAATCCATAGCTGTTAATGTATATGATAAATTAAGCGAATAAATGTATATGATAAATTAAGCGAATAAAATTTTATAATGTAAGTAAAAAATTGTATAATGTAAACTAGTCTATATCTAACCAGCGCGCAATTCTGCTTGTACATTTAAAGAGATTGTATAAGAAATATGATTGTGATATACCTATAATCTGATTGAAAGTTAATATTTTGTGAATCCATCTGTACATAGATTTTTAAGAAAAATAGGTTTCTGCTGTATATCATGCACATTATGTCATGGCCTTTTTATGTACAGTTTTCTAATGTAAGATTCTAATGTGTATGCAGTTAAATATAATTTCGCATATTTGAAAATATGAAAAAAAATAAATGTATAAGGTATAATTAATACGCATCAGAGATTCCCTACATTTACATACCCATGCTGAAGAAGAATGCTTTTAAAAGAAGAAATTTTAAAAGTTTTTATATATACTCTCATCTAACATTAGAATACAAATAGTTAATAATTAATATAATTTGATATATACAGAGTGTATCTTCCCCCGTCCACTAGGTATATAACGTTATTTCTCAGAAAATTTGAGTCGAAAAATTCCGAACGAAAATGTCGAGATGTCACTAGTTCACGAAATACAAACGATCGAGAAAACAATATTTCGCAAACTATGCTTCGGACGATCAAATGGACAGCAAATCTATTTTCTCCGATTAATTTTAAGCAGATTTCATTTTAATAGATTTTTAATTTAGAGCTTAGCTATAAAGATGTATTAAATGTTGAAAAACTATGTACTTATTGGGCAGGGGAAAGATAAAACACCCTGTAAAACTCCAAAGGTCTAAGAGAGAGAGAGAGGGACAATTATTACACAATTATCCGTATAATGGATATGTTCCAATAAATTTATTACATATATAATTATATCGTCTGTTAGTTTCACAAATACAATTAATATATATGTATGATATAATTACAATATTTACAAAGAATATACATCAATGTGCATACACACATTATATTATGAATGTATGACAAATTTCAAAATGCACTGCAATTTTTAATAGTTTTACTTTTAGCACTGTTTTTAATTAAACAAATATAATTTTCCCAAGCAGTGAGTTAATTTTTTTACAATTCCAATCATGAAAACAACATTGTTGATGTTAGCAATATAAACAAACTAATGCTTCAAGACATCTTGTATAAATGTAATTTCACAAAAACGATTCAATCGTTCTTTAAACACATATTACACCATGAGGTGCCATCATGAGGTAACTGTGATTTTACATAAGGAAGCAACCATGTCAAATACCATCGTTCTCCAAATACATCTTTAATATTGTCCTTCCAACCCATGTTATACATATAATTATTTTTGTTACTCTCATTACTTACAACACCTCTAAATATCAAATTGAAATGATAAATACACAACACTCCCGCATACAGAGTGCCTACGAACGACACAACGTACAGCACCAAGTAGAACTGATCGATGGACATATCGATACCAAAAAAGAAGATCACTAAAGGGAAAACCATTCTAAGAACTGTTGAGAACTCGAAAGGTACCCTACTCCAAACAAAAAAGCTGCCGTAACAGAAGGCGTACGCTGCGCCGAGGAACAAATACCATAAAAACATGATGAAATAACGGTGATTGTAGAAGCCTATGCAGTAGCCAGCAAATATGCAATGGTGATTGCGCTTGAGAATGCAAATGTCACAGGTGTGGCAATGCCATGATCGCGGTGGCGATAGGGTCTCGCAAGCCACGCACAGCCACCACCCGTTCTCTGGTTTTGCTGTGCCTATTGACATCACGTTCCTGACGGTACTGGTGTCACACAGCACCGTATACGTGTAGTTGCCTACTATATTTAGCATGATGAAAGTACCGAGAACAAAGTGTAGCGTGTATTGCAAGCTCTCGTCCTTGTAGAATTCCGGCAATACCACCCACAATCCGAACCAATATATCAATGGCACTATGGTCAATACGAAAACCATCGACGCTAGATCGCCGGCAGTCCGCGGCCATATCTTCTTCCGCATCACTACCATTCTACCCGCTACTTGCCGTTACTGTTTTCCTCAGTTCATTTAATTCTCCTACACGCCACACAGTATTCAGCTATATTTTTTCTGCTCTTTTTCTCTTATCAACGTATCTGTCAGAACCGTCCTCTATATTTCTCCTTTACTTTTCTCTTAGATAATTTCTTTAGGATATAATAACAAACTTTTTTCTTCCTAATTTTCGTTTTTTTTAATGATCTATTTTAGTTGTCACAGAATTTTTCGATAACAGCTGATGAAAGTTTACAAATTATCACTATTCTGTGAGCCATGGAGGTATTTTCTTCAAAGCGCTCAAGGTACATCACGCGCACGCAGTACGCCCTTCCTTCCTTCTTGGTTTGGCCCCGGATAGAATCCATCGCCATCTGGTGTTTCCAACAGATTTGAGCAGCCATAAGATGGCCGCTTAATTCAAATACTGATATCCGAGTTTTTTAAGAATTTACAAACGATGTCTAAAACAATCGGTGTTTCAATGAATGCGAGTTCGTGTATGTCCTTTGAAAGATTAAATCTATGCAGATCCAATAGCAATGCATCAGCATGCCTTTTAAAGTCAATACAATCAAAAAAAAGATGATTCGCTGATTGAGAATCGTGACCACACGGGCAGGATTTATTTGTAGTTATGCCTTTGTCGTACAAATGTACAGTTGCACATGTACAAGTTGCACCTGGTATGAAATGACCTAAGTCTATTAATTATAACAATGTACTTTCTAGGAATATGCTTAAATTGCTTGAACCATGGATTTGACAACTCTTTGTTTCTGGTTCTATTAAAATATCTGTAGCCTTTATATGAAGCAGTTTGTTCCAATATAGAGTATGAAATCTGTTTATAGTGTTTCAAAGTTGCTGAACAGAAGTTAGAATAAAAATAGCGGTTTTCATGATGAGCAACAAGATTTGTACTCTGATGTGTTGCCTGCGATGCGAGAAAGTCTACTAGATCATTGCCATAAAGATTAATGTGCCCAGGGGCCCAGGCAATCATTATATTACTACCAAAGTTATTGGCCGAGAGCAAGAGTTTCTTGATCACATATATATAGTGTGGTTTAGATCCTTGGTAATCCACCGAGCTAATAGCTGTTACCACGCTTTTAGCGTCGGTAACGATTAAATAATTAGTCCCAATTTGTGATTTTATATACGAAATGGCTTTGATAATAGCTAAGGCTTCGATTTCAAAAATAGAAAAATAACTATTTGTAGAGCCCATAATGTATTTTTTGTTCCATTCGAAGTAACAGGCGTACCCTCCAAGACCATCAACCATCTTCGAGCCGTCGGTGAAAATAACGTGATAGAATATAACTTCAGACTATCCTTAAATATAACATCCGCCTTACTCATTGTGCGGCACGATTCTGAAATGAGATTTGGTAGATTATCAACAGCGAATAAAGATGCATTAAAATTTTTATCGATTTGAGTAAGCCCTTTCAAGTTAAGAAATTGGGCTCCAAAGTTTACATCAGTAAGGAGTACACCCAGTGATCCCAGTGGTCTGTTCTTTTCAGCTGCACTGTTGAACTGGTGCAATAAGTTAGAGTGAGAAAACATATCTTGTTTCACTTTAACTTATTGCACTGCAGTTCAGCAGTGCAGCCGAAAAGAACAGACCACAGATAGGCCCGCTTTTTCGCGCATGCGCGACGAAAACAGCTTCAATGAAGTATATAATGTTCTAAAAAGAGAGTGCCGTTGAGCCAAATTATGTTTGCTCATAAAAAAAGAATAACATATATTGAATTTAATTTATAAAATTATATATAGAATTTAATGTATAAAATTATATATACTTCATTGAAGCTGTTTCATGCATGCGCGGAAAAATGTACCTATCTGGGATCACTGAGTGCCCTGGGCAGCGATCATGTAACTTTTCCCCTAGGGCGGAAACGTGAAAAGTTTCACGTGAACTCGTGATCACTAAACTCGGCGAAGCATAGAAACATGAAACTTTTCACGTGAACTTGTTAGCCATGAAATATGCTGGCGGAAAAGTGAAAATCTAGTGACGTGATAAATACGGAATATATTGTTACGTCCACGATAAATAACTATATAGGGAAATTTGAAAGTAGTGAAATCAGTGACTTACGTGGACGGTCAACAGAGTGATGGCTCCGCTTTTGGGTCACTCTGCTTTTCACCGAGTTTACCCTGGGTCTCGGGAGCCTGGCGAAACGATTGATGAATCTGGCGGAAAATCAGCGGTGCTTGTTCTCCTGGCTCGGCCTCGGATGTTCCGATACCACGCGGGTTGATGCGGCCCGCGATTCAGAATTTGATTTCGCAACGTTTGAAATATGAAGGGTAGGCAAAGTAATTGCAACACAGTCGGATTTTACGACTAAGTATAATATGCTGAATAAGTACACGAAGCTACCAGAGACTAACTATGAGAAGAAAATAATTATATATATTGCCTTCTCTACAAATGCGCGCGCTTTTATATGTCGCTTTATCGCTGAGAGTCGTTCTCCGATTGGTCCATGGAGTTATGGCGAGGGAAGAGATTCATTCCTTTGCATGATGTCACCGCGTCGGTGTCCTGAGTGATGTTTGGGATTCAGTTTTCATGCTCCTGTTTATGTTGGCTTGCTCATGTTTATGTTGGCTTATCGCACTGAGCGATAGCGGTTTCTTTGGGTCGATCCGTTGATTTCGAGACTCTCCAGCAGCACGCAGCATTCGGTATTTTAATTATAATGTTTTAACGCTCGCGAATATGCATATGCGCACGTACTTACATCTAGTAACATAGGGATAAAATATCTAGTGATGTCTGAAATCAGACAAGTCGGCCTCCCGGTCTATAATAATATATTGTTAATGTTCTAAAATAGATCCGGACGTTACAATATTATGCTACTGCTGTGATGAGATACAGGAAACATAACAGCCCAGAGCGCGGAACGAGAACGGAACCAATCATGAGCGGAAGTAATCACGAGCGAAAACTGTGGAACGCGCGTGTTTGGTTCCGCTCTCGTTCCGCGCTCCGTTATTCCGCTGCATGGGTTTGCACCTTAAGTTTATTGGTGAATACCGGCCATAGATTATGCGCGCATGATGTGCTTTGCAAAATTCTCGAGCAGGGCTGCGTTCGGAAACGTCACTCGAATACTCTTCCTCTCTTTTTATCTCTTGTATCTTGCTCACTCCAACGTAACGGATACACTTGGGTGACGTTTCCGAATGCAGCCCAGGGCAGCGATCACGTAACTTCGAGCGAATCTTTTCACTTTTCACTTTTCGCTCTATCGATTTCACGTAAACTTTTTCATTGTTCACGAAATCAAGTAACTCTACCAGGTATGTAAATATGAAGCCGGAATTTTTGTATAGAAAATACACGTTTATTGTATGAAAATGATAAAAAATATTTTATTCGAAGTATTGCCCATCGCTAGCTATACATTTTTCCCACCTGTCTGACAATTTGTGGATGCCACGCCAAAAAAACTGTTGCTCTTTTGAGGCAAACCAGTCATCGAGCCATTTTCATACATTTTCGTAAGAAGTGAAGCGCTGTTTAGCAAGTGCGTGTCCCATTGATGCAAATAAATAGTAATCGGACAGAGCCAAGTCTGGTGAGTAAGCCGCATGCGAAAGTATTTCCCAACTAAACGCCTCAATCATTTCCTTGACTAGTTTTGCTGTGTGTGATGGTGCATTATCATGAAGCAAAATCACTTTGTGTTGCCTTTTTTTATATTCTGGTCGTTTTTCACGCAAAGCTTGATTCAAATCGATCATTTGTTGTCGGTAGCGTTCAGTATTAACGGTTTGGCCAGGTTTTAGCAACTCATAATAGATCACACCCTTCTGATCCCACCAAACACAGAGCATTGTCTTCCGTCCATAGCGATTTGGCCTTGCAGTCGATGTCGATGGTTCGCCTGGAGTTACCCATGATCTTTTACGCTTAGGATTCTCAAAATATATCCACTTTTCATCGCCAGTCACAATTCGATGGAGAAATGACTTTCTTTTGTACCTGGCGAGCAGCATTTCGCAAGTGGTTTTTCGGTTTTCCTGCTGTCTTTCATTCAGTTCATGTGGAACCCATTTTCCCATCTTCTGGATCTTTCCCATGGCTTTCAAACGTATGGAGACGGCTTCTCGTGTCACATTTAATTGATCCGCGAGTTGTTGTTGCGTTTGAGTGTCATCCTCATCCAACAATGCTTGCAATTCGCTGTCTTCAAACTTTTTCGGTGGTCTTCCACGTTCTTCGTTTCTCACGTCAAAATCGCCACTTTTGAATTTTTTAAACCACTCAAAGCACTGTGATTTACCAAGAGCATGCTCACCGTAAGCTTCGACAAGCATTCGATGCGATTCTGCAGCAGTTTTCTTCAAATGGTAACAGAAAATCAATGCTGTCCGCAAATCGTAGTTTCCTAAGCATGTTCAACTGGCTTTGTGTTAACCCATTATTCAGTCTATGTTTATTGGTCAAACAATACTTATAAGCTTTATGATTGGCTAGTAGAGACTTATGATGTCATTAATCGCTCTCGGAGCGATTAATCCAGGGCTAGTCGAACACACTATAACTCAACTCGGGTAGGACCCGATTGATCACGATACGATTGGACACAGATTGTAATGATTGGTTCGACCTAGTAATTCACTAGATAATTCTTTTCATCGGTTGGTTGTGTCCAATCGTACCGTGGTCAATCGGGACGCTCCCACTCAACTCGACCCAACTTTGGGTATTTTGGAAGCATCCATGGCCTAACACCCAACAAAGAAATCACTAGATTATTTTATTTTACCATATAAATACTAAAAAATACGCACACTTACTTTTCACGTTTTAGCCTACACAGTTTATGGCTAAAACGTGAAAAATAGTATAATACTATCATCATGCGCAAATATATAAATTGTAATATTACGCATGCGTATTCTGCAATTGAAAACATTGTGGACAACTGCTTCAGTGAATTTTATTTTGTATGATTGCATACTTTTTTAAAATTGAAATTATATGATAAAGAATTTTTCCTAAAATATACAAAGAAAAGATTACAACAGTATATGCATTATATTATAAATACAGATGTGCATTAAATAAAACAAGTTTATAATAATTATCACGAATATTTATAAATTGCTCACTTTTCACGATTTCATGCTAGAGAAAAATGTTATATGATCGATGGTAAAATTATATGATCGATAGTAAAAGTTATATGATCGATAGTAAAATTAAACTCACGTGAAAAGATTTATGATTGATGCCCTGGTGCAATAAGTTAAAGTGAGGTACGTATACTTCCGGTTTGGACCCAAACATGGCGAATCTAGTATCTACAGGCGATGATGTCTTATTAAAGGATTTCTAGGTATAGTACTGAATGCACCTATTTAGATTAGGTTGTACCTAGGTTAGTTTGGTTTGAAATGAGACTTAAATATATGTCTGTCTTTATTTATTTAGAAAGAAAGATAAAGATAGATATGTTTAAATTTCGCTTAAAGCCAAAATAATGGTGTAACCAAGCCTGAATTTACTTTGAAAAATCAATTAATCGAATCTAAAAACACAGATTATTTCTAAAAAAACATCGAACATCGATTAATCGAAGCAACATCGCCTATCACTAGTTTTAACCGCAAGTCTCGGCTTAACCGCCGTTACGACAAGATGTGTTCGACCAAGTTCGAACATTATGATTTTTTGGAACGTGCCTTGGAATTTTCCAAGACTTTACTCTCGAAATATGTCATAAATCGGAATAATGGCGTTGGAGCATAACTCTTAGAGAGGCCTGGAGCCAAATATTGAAGTTGAGTTAGTTTTAACCGCCTTGGTAATGGTGTTGGGGTTTTTCTGAGTAATCCCTGGAACCAACACTGAGCACTGAGCACTGAGCTTTAACCGCCGTAACATTGAGATGTGTTCGAACACCTGTGATTTTTTGGAATATGTACCTCGGTACATACCTTGATAAAAGGGCAATACAGATAAGCCTGAATCCAAGTAAAATAGGAAAAAGAAGAAGAGATCACTTTGATAGGACATCTCTTGAAAGAATATTTAACATTGAAAAAGGGGCAAAAATGATACGTTTAATTGAACAAAAAATAAAGAAAAACTCAACAAAAATCTCCACAGAACATCCTCTCTAAAGACATTCTGAGAATATCTCCAGGACATCTTCTGCTATCTAAGTTGTAAGGACCAATTATACATTACTTTTCAATATTATTTTTATTTTAGTTATTGTTATTCTTTGATATATCATCAGTTTGTATATATCTAATTATTAAAATATTTAACATTAAAAAACAACTAATTTGGAGAGTTAATTAATATAATAAGCTAGCTAAAACAGATTTGTCGCAAAAAATACATTAAAGAATAATTAAATTGAATAAACCTATAAACTATTTAAAAACATAAGAAGCATAAGTTTTTTTATTATAAAAAATTTTGAGATTTCAGTATACGTTTCTTTATTGCACTATTTCCTTTTGCAAGCATAACTGACATCAAGTTTATCAAATTTCAATACAATTCATTAAAATATTTTCTAATATAATATTTTGTTAGCAAAAATTGGTACGACATGTTATCAGCAGTTTGCTGACATCAGTTAGCAAACGCGTCCGATTTAACGCGATACACCTGTTACAAAAGATAACTACATTCAATAATTGTGCATGCTTGAGAGGAATCTTTGCTAATATATACAATTAACTGTCATTTATAAAATTATATACAAGTCTTAAAATATAATTTTAAGAAGATGACAGTAGTAAGTTAAACATGTGTGACGAAAGTATTTTTTTGTACCGAGTTTAAGGTTATGTTTGAGATCGTATGAGATACCTTTATGTTTCACTTTCGAAGTGTCTTTAATTGCAACTAAAAAGTTGATTATCGTGAATATATCTTTTTATATAGTATTGTGTTTTACACAAGAATAAATTACTAGCAATTAGCAAAATATCTAGAGCAAGTCATATACGTACATACATACATCATATATATATATATATATATATGTATGTGTGTGTGTGTGTGTGTGTGTGTATGTGTGTGTGTCACAAATTATTAAATACGATTTAAATTTTATTGGGACAATATTTTGTCATTTTAGGAATTGAAGAAGTTTCTATATGGTTTGTTAAGTGGTATAGAAGGTCTGCATAGCATATTAATTACAGACAGGGACGGAGTACCTGTTATATCTGTAGCCGATGAGAAGGCACCAGAATTAGCTATGAGAGCTAGCTTCTTGTCTACTTTTGGAATGGCAACAGACCAGGGAAGTAAACTGGGTCTTGGAAAAAATAAAACTATTATATGCATGTATAGCAATTATCAGGTAAGGTATATACTATAGGCAGATAACATTTATATTAAAATATAATAATACATAATTAATGTGTATATAAATATATTTAGGATAAACTATTATATACTAATTAATATTTGAGATAAAAGAAATTAATATAAAGAAGATAATAATTATTGCCAGAATTATAGGAATATTATTTGTATTAGTTGATAAGAGAGATAATAGAATGAGATAATGGCAGTTTAGTTATTAAAATATATATAATTATACATGATTTGTAGTACTATACTGAATTGTTTGTTGTATACTAGTTGTTCTTATTTGGTATTTAGGTGGTGCAGATGAATAAATTACCGTTGGTTGTAAGTTTCATCGCTAGTCACAATTGCAACACTGGTCACATATTGTCATTGGAAAATAAGATTGATCCTATTTTAAGTAGTTTAAAAAATGCAGTAGTGGAAGCCTGATGGTTACCTGTTGTTCATTATGGGTGATAAATGCTGAATACTACTGAGATACAAATTTATGAATCATTGTGAGTGTTATACAAACAGTGCCTGTGTTACAATGTCAGTACTTTTCTCAGTGGAAACCGATCTGTTTCTATATTTCTATTTGCTAACGCTTTTGTATGATATCAAAAGCGTATCCATATATATATATATATATATATATATATATATATATATATATATATTCTGAGAGCAGGAATAATTATAGTATATTTCAAAATAAAACTATATTGTATAGTCCTTTAAACACTTCAGAAAGATATTTTAAAGACTAAAGTGTGATTCTTTTGTCAAAGGAAAAGAAATATATATAAAAATTTTTTCTGTAAAATCATTCCTATTCAGTATAAAACTTTCCAATTAATATTATTAAATGAAAAAGTATGTGACAACAATCAAATGAAATATTAAAGATAATTTTCCAAAAATTGGATAAAGGATAAATTTGAAAATCTTACAAAATTCCAAGAAATATGTTTAAATACAATAATGTAATACTGATGTTTTACAATTTTTGAGGATATCCTACACATATCCTACACACATACGCACATGCAGTAAATAATATACAGTAAGTCATTCCAGCAGAATACCAAACAGAATAACTAAATTTAGCAAGTAATTTCCCACAGTATCTTGATAATTCACTTTGTACTAACAAAATACCTGCTTTATCATTTTTAGTGACATAGAAACTTTAACAGTTACGAATAATCAAATTAATCTGATAAATAAGTTATGTTTGTAAAGAATAATTGTAAAAAGAAATAGGGATTTCTATATTAAATCACATATCGATAAATAGTTATCTTTATAGTAATATTTATTATGCATAAATAATATAATATATAAATCATACAAGACTAAATGTACAGGAAAAGAACTATAAAGAATATACCAAGGGTTTGTCCTTGAGACTATTTAAAATACTCTGTGTTGCAATTATCGACATATTAATTATCTTATCGATCAACTCACATGTGGGAAAATTTTTCTGTAATATATGTACAGAATAAAAATCGATAATATAATGCGCTTATTCATGTGAAAAGAACTAATATGATATAATTATGAATTCTCAGAAAAACTAATACTAATCGATATTAGGTAGATTTGAATACTAATCGGTATTAGGTAGATTTAGAAGTGTATAGTTCGATGATAATGTTCCTCGAGCAATAATATCTAATCCATAGCAGCAAATATTTTCTTATTACTAAGAGATCTCATAAACAAATCGGCATTTACGATCTTATTGCGTGAACTATGTTTACGAAAATAGTTGTATCTTACAGAAAGCATTTTTATTGAAAAGTTCTTTGATTTTATTGTCAAATGAAGTCGCGATTACGAGAAAGTCACTCTACTCTAGAAGTTCGTCTAAAGCAGAATTCAGCAAGCGATACACTTTTCGGCCAATTTTTGAGAGGTTCCGCCTCGTGGTATTCCCCTTATGTTGTTACCCCGCGCGCAGCCTATGAGTTACTCGATGCTCAAGTAATTCATAAGCTGTTCGCAGGATAAAAGGTTTCTCTTTGTTTTTTCTTCACACTCAGCAATCGATTTCACCCGTCATTCTACGTACGAAAATATTAAAGTGAGCTTACCGCTCATTTTCTTAAACACTGTTGAGTCAAAGATGAAATAACAATAATAGAATAAGAGATTGTTTAGGGAAGAAATATATAGGGAAAATCGAGGCTATTTGGCCACCTGAGATAAATTGACAAAATCGATTATTTCTACTGTTCTTTAACAGATTTCAGAATCAAGCAAACCAGGATTTCAAAGTCATCTTTGATATGTTTAAAAATCTTGCTTAATTTTGTAATTTGTTATAAAATATTAAAAATAACTGGTTCTGCAAAGTTATCCCGGTAGCCGACTGGTCCCGGTCTCCCTTATACAAAAGTGGATAAAGATATTTCATATCTTGTACTAATAAGTAATTGGAAGTAAGATTAAAATGTAAAATATCTTGGAAAATTATATACTTTTGCACGATTTTATTTTACTTACCGAACTTATCAGTATTTTTATACTGATAACCAAAGAAATTGATTTATGTTAAAGAAATTCCACCAACAAAAAATTAAAATTAACATTGACAGAGATTTGAAGATCAATTCAAGGTCAAGTAAATGTTAGCATATTTTTCCCTCTCGAAATTTTACAAATTTTATTGAAGACTTTTTCATATCTTTCTTTATTTCCGAGATATTAAGCTGTGTATTGATTAAAGTAGAACACTCTGTATGTATGTACATATACCCTGTATATATGTATATATACAGGGTGTCTCACTCGTGTATGTTAAAAAAAGCCGCATATTCTATATAAATAACTTAGTCGAAAAGTTCTTCACAGTTTTTGAATATTTTTAATATTAACCGAGATATTTTCACATGAGTTAAAGTTTGAATAGTTTTCGTTCAATCAAACGGTACGCGGTTTACGCGCCATGTGCTCAGTAATCCGCTTGATCGTCCCATTGAACTCGTTATCGCTTTTAATGATATAGAGTTTTTATTGCAATTATGAATAATCAAATTAAGATTGTAATTCGATAAGCAAGTTATATTCGTAAATGCATAAAAAGAGACAGGAATTTCTATATTAAATCGATAAATACCAGTTTTTCTAATGATATTTATTATGCACAGATAATGTAAAAGTAATCTGTAAATCATATAAGGCTGAATGTAAGAAAAATTATTATAAAGGATACACCAAAGATTTGCCTTCGAGACCATTTAAAATGTTCTGAGCTGCAGTTATTGACATATTATTGCGAGTTTTGAGCGTCGCAGTACCCAAATGTGGCAAGATTTCTGTAATATTGTATATACAGCATAAAAATCGATAATATGTGCGCTTCACATGAAAAAAAAAACTAATTATACATTATAATTATGAAATATATAAATTAAATAAAAAACTACTGACCGACATTAGGCAGCTTTAGAAGTTCGTGGTCCGTTGGTAACGGTTCTGGATCGGTAACATCTAACCCAGCAGCGAATATTTTCTTATTACGAAGAGCTCTCACAAGCGAATCGGTGTTTACGATCTGGCCGCGAGCTATGTTCACTAAGATGGCCGTGTCTTTCATTTTATCGAAAATATTATCATTAAAGAGTCCTCTGGTTTCATTGTTCAATGGGGCAGCAATTACGAGGATGTCACTTTGCTCCAGAAGCTCGTCCAGAGATACGAATGTTGCTCCAAGTTCATCACCTGGATGTTATTTATTTTCAAAAAGAAGTTTGTCATTTATTGTCTAAAAAATGTCTACAAATCAATATTTTACAAGTTTACTATCCCAAAATAAATATGGTAAAGATTTCCGCGAATCACTAGAGTTTACTATACCCTGACATAATTATTTAGTAGAATAAATGTAAAAAATGTATTTTTGAAAATTACGATGGGGGTAAAAAAACCAGTTAGAGTGTAAGTGCAATTGTCAGTGTAAATAATAATTTGCAGCAATTGTTTTTGTATACAGGATGTTATACATAAACACATATATATATATATACACGCGCGTGACACTCATAGGTGGGTGGAGAAGGGATATTTAAGTCTCTTAAAATCCTTTTATACAGATGTAGAATATAATTAAGAAAGTTTATTAAAAATGTTTATCATATAACGTACCTGCTTTCTTACGCGAGTGTCCTGTATAGATAAAACGCCCCACCTCGAATCCCATTAATCGCTTAACGATTGCTTGACCAATATTTCCAAGACCAAATAACCCGACAGTAGATCTCTGTACATCCTGTCCCAATAGCCATTGTGGTCTAAATTCCATCTGACCTCTTAATTAGATTATGATATATATTTATAGCCGTGTTTCGTTTAGCATGTAATTTATACATTTCACATCTTAATTAATCCTCTATATTTTAATTTGATAAGCGACCTTAAGTTACGAGTTTTTTTTTGGAGCAAAGTGACATCCCCATAATTGCTGCCCCATTGAACAATGAAACCAGAGGACTCTTTAATGATAATGTTTTCGATAAGATGAAAGACACGGCCATCTTAGTGAACATAACTATTATAATTATGTAAAAGAAAAAGATGAAAAACACGATATATCCTGATATATCGCGATATATACATCTCTTGAGTCGTACGGAGTCTCTTAAATAGTCGGAATAATAGAGGATTAATTTTTGTATGATTTAAAATGAAATAAAATGCGAATTACTGTTCCAGTTTCAGACGACCTTCGTGAGCGCGTCTCATCGCGGATAAGATTAAGAGCACGGCAATTTCCGCAACTGCGGCAGATAATACATTAGGCGTGTGTCCCACCTTAATTCCTCTCTTCTTAATTTCGGGAACATCCAAGTGATCGTATCCAGCCGACATCGTTGATACAACTTTCAACTTTGAACCTGAAAAACAATATTAAAATATCTGTTAATTTATTACTCAACAAGATTCTGTAATCAATTATTTATCCTTTTCTCTCAATGATACAGCATATGCTTGTCCATCTATAATATTTCAGTTTTGTATTAAACTTCAGGGCAATTGTTAGTAACTTTGATAGTTCCTGTGTTACAGGCGTTACAGTAAATGGATAAGGTAACTATTTATTATAAAACATTATTTAAAGTTACTTAGATTGAATACGATTTACCGGCGATATCAAGGAATTCGCTGTTCACATACTGATGATTGCTGAGAAACACAGCGTCGTGTCCTGGGAGAGCTTGCAACACTTGTTCCCGCGTGCTTACAGCGGCTGGTATAATAGTAACGTCGCATCTGTACCGACAATATAAGCAGTATGATCTAATTTTGCGGGCATCTAAAATTTATTCGTACTCACTTGGTTCGGAGCAAATCGATGCCGGGAGCCGGCGTATCATTGCTAGTTATCAATACTCGCGGTAGGTTCGGTAGGTTCATCGTGTTCAAATTTCTATCTGATCACAATTTGTACACACACGCGAGGATAAATTGTAGGACAAATCCTATATTTAAATTCTATTAAAGGGTATATTTTGATAATTGATGATAATTAATGTAAAATAGGATTTTCTACCCAAAAGGATTTGCGAGCGCCTTCACTGTTAATACTGTGGGAAATTGTATTCATTAAAATTATATCGATGTCACGTTATCGCGAGAGGTTAAATTGAATTAACAGTACAGTACAGTATTTAGTACAGTAACAGGACGTACTTGCGCCGACGATTGCTTTGCGATAACTGTTATCACTGTGTCCTAAGAATTGTATGTTGCGTAACAAAAATTCTATTATCACGTATGTACTATGCGACAGAGATGTTATCACACGTATGCACTCAACCGGTTTAAAAATAACACAAAAGATAGTCGTTGAGGGTACAGTTACATGAGTTTAATACTTTTTGGTCTTTTATGGATGCCGGATTGGATTAGTTAGTGGAAGTATAGATATTATGTCCCAAAGTTTTCATTTCGCGCTTGGCGAAAGTCTTCCTCTTGTGCTTATAATTCTGTAACATTTTGAGTATTTTCACATTTTACATATGCAAGTCGTGAGCGTGTACAACAAACAGGAAAGACTGGAATAAAAGGTAAGATCTAATATATTTCGAAAATTCCATTTATTTCGTAAAAAAATACTATACAATGAACAAAATTGCAAAAAGGATGAAATGTAAACAATTGTGTTGAAAAATTTTGTTACCGTTAAAAACTCAGAGAATTCCTAAGAATCCAGAAACAATTTATGTGCAAATCATTAAAATTGAACCCAACTTAATCACGGGGCAAACGCATTTGTTCGAAGATATTAAAAAAAAAACAAAATTTATATAAGCATGCCTATCGTCCTAACTAATGACGTATGTACATAGACCATTGACATAGAAGCATTGGGCACGTTCAGCGGAAAAAGCGCAGTGAGCAATCAGCGATTATTGGTTCTTATTAGTTAGATCCCTAAATCTAGACCAATTACATTGACGAATAGCTCAACTGTTGTGCAACTGTTGAGTTCGCTGAACGCATCCATTGGCTGCGTTCAGCAGAGGAAGCTGCTTTGCAACTGTGTAAAATTCTTGAATCTGATTGGTACATGCTCTTGGATTTAACCAAAATTAAGAGCATACTCCAATCAGATTCACGAATTTTACAACAGTTGCAAAGCAGCCTTTTCTGCTGAACACTTAGAGCACATATATATGGAGGAGGAATGCTGGCACGAAAATGGGCGCATTCAGCAGAAAAAGCGCTCAGTGAGCAATCAACGATTATTGGTTCTTGCTATTAGATCCCTAAATGTAGACCAATTACATTGACAAATTACTCAACTGTTGTGCAACTGTTGAGTCTACTGAATGCAGCCATTGTCTTCAAGATGTGTGCGAGAGAGAAAGCTATACGTTCCTATTTGTCCTCTATGCGCATGCGTTGAAGTTGCCAGGTTTGGTTAGGTTATAGAGTTAACAGGAGATAAAAGTTATTTATTTTCTTCTCATAGAATTCTGAGAATTTTTTTAGAATTTTTTTAGAATTTTCTTAGAATTTTGTATTAACTTTCTAGTACTTCAAGAAAATGCAAGAAAACGCAAAGAAATGCAGTACTAAAAAGTTAATATAAAATTTTGAAAAAATTCGCCGAGCTCTATGAGAAGAAAATAAATAATTTTTATCTCTTGCTATTTTTCGGTAAAGTTGATAGAATTCAAGTAAAAAAATATTGAAACCAATAATTTTGTAGTCCAGCAACAACTGACGCATGTTGGCGTATGCGCACAGAGGAGGAATAGGAATGTATATCTTTCTCTCTCGCACAGATCTTGAAGACACTTTTGGTCTACAGCAGGCATACGCAATTCCCCCCTTCATATATGTATGCTAAGTTTCTGTAATAACCTTCTAGCTCTTACGGAAAAACAACATATTGATTGGCTGTCGCGTGGACTTCCGCCGCACGGCAAGTATTACCGCGTCCTGTGTGCAGGAGCCATTACACAACTAATGTAGAACGTCCTTAAGGTGCCATTACATGGAAACGTTCGAGCGTCGAGCGTCAAACCCGTGCGCAGCATCTTTGCGCAGAAATCTAAACCGTTCAGATTTCAGCTTCTTGACGCTATTAGGGCAATGTCTCTTTCTTTCTACGAATATTTGTAACACCCAAAACCTTTTTTTTTGTTTTGCTTATATTGCACACCCAAAACCTTTTTTTTTGGTTTTGCTCATATTACATTTGTAATTAGTGATATTAATGCAATTAACTCCACGTTTTGTTGATAATATTCGTTACTGATAATGCTATTGCATTTTAATAATTACAAATAATGCCGATAATTAATAGACATTTTGTAATGTCTTACAATTTTTTCTGAATTGCTGATAAATATCTCGAAATTCAACTGACAGTTTAGTATGCAATCAAATTAATCTTGCGTTTCAGCAACAACTCACTATTACTATATTACTACGCATGTGTTCAACGCTTGACGCTCGACGCTCCTATGTAAAAGCACCTTTAACGGAACGCGTCCTAGAGGTTTTCCACTGCCTCTGGTACGCCATCCCAAACGGGATACGAGGGAAAGACAGACTGCTATTTGCGTTTGAAAGGATGGAGAAACGGGATATTTGACCATCTAATTAATAGATACATACGTTTATCAAACAAATGCTGTGAATAATTATTTCTCTTATAATAAATGCGTCTTCTAGTTATCAACGATCGATTACAAAATGTAATAATAATAATAATGAAGATGTAATAATAATGATAAGAATAACACTAGTAGTGAGAAGTGATAACAAAATATTATAGAATTTAATTTTATTATCAGTCGACAGTAAAATTTATAAATATTGCCAATTCATTTAATCCAAATTATAACCAGTCGTTTTTGTTTGATTCTAAATTATTAAAATATATCTTTCGAAAAAAGCAAACAAAATACATCCATACAAAGAGAGGAAGTAAAAAGAGTACAAAGAAAAGGCAGAAGAAATTGCAAAATTGTTCTTGGAGCGACAAACGTTGACGCAAATATGAAAATATTTACATGCCATCTGTGTCGTGTAATATTATCATGTTCGTCCGTAAAGGTTGATCTACAATGTGTTATTTGCTTCTTGTTTTTTTTTTTCTTTATCTCTTTCTGACTCATACCTTAAGCCTTAAACTAAAAAAAGACAGAGAACAAGAAACAGAAAGCAAAGAGCACCTTGTAGATTAGGCTTTACACATCCAGTATGTTCTGTGTCTCACAAGTGTCCTTATGTATCATATGAAAAGAAACCGCAGGACCTTTCTGAACGTATTGGGCTTTCCGTGTGAAGTAAGTTTTGAGGTTATAAAATTACGTTAGGAAACTAAGTAATTAGGTATTGTGTAACGGATAAGTAATTTTATAATTTATATTTTTCCTTCGAAAAATACCATTGTACTTTTGTGTCTTTCTCCGTTTTTTTTCGAATCCTTTAAATACATATTTAAGAAAATGCTGGATATCAATATAATATAATTTTATAGTTTGTAATATTATATAAAATTGCAAATATTTTTACAGAGATGCTTTTACAAAAAATAAAAGTATCAATTAGAGATACTCCATTTTAGGCATTTTTTCGTTTCGTAACCACGGTAGCGTTTGGTTGGTTAGTTTGGTCCACTTAACGCTCGCAATGCTGCGAACGTCTTTCTATCTTTGTTGCTCGAAGCGTTGCGAGCGTTAAGTGGACCAAATTAACCAACCAAACTCTACCGTTGTCACGAAACGAAAAAACGCCTTTTATATCAGAAATAAAAAGATTTTATAAATAATTTTTTGTTTATAATGCAACATGAGATACCTTTTAATACATTGGTATTTATACCTTCACTCTATAAAAATATTTATAATTGTGCAACCATATAGGAAAACAGTGCAAACTGTAAAATTGCATTATGTCAAAAAAAATATTCAGTTTTAAGTAATAAATATATTCAGCAGTAGGTTTTTTTATCAGAAGATATCAAAGTATTCAAATACAATTACAGAAAGAATCAATAATCTCTGAGGAAGACGTTTAGAAATTATATTATTTCCATATATATTTTATATAGTATAATTTTATAGTATGCATTTTTCAAGAAAGTGGACAATTTTGTTATATACCATTGTGATATAATTATTTTAATTTATTAATTGCTTCATATTAATAATTTTTGTGGTATTATTTTAAAACAAATGTGTGTGAATAAATAGTAATTCTATATATTTTTATTAAGTACATTGTAATGTCATTCATTTATTTAGAAAATTTAAGTATTTACATGTGGTTACTTTGATTCAAGGAGAAAAAATAATTTACAAGTTAGAGAATTCTAGTTGAATAATTTTTTGAGTTTTATAGAGAACAAACAGAAAATCCAAAAAGTTAAAGATAAGTCTTGAGTAAGAATTGACAAAAGTTAAATACTGTATGTATATATTTTTTTAATATATACGCTTAATATATTCATACACACACACATATATGTATATATATGTTACATGATATATCATTTTCTTATTACAGGATTATATGCTTTTTTATTTCATAACGAAGAAGCGTCATTAAGTATTGTAAGATGATGTGGATATTACAAAATATTAGGAAAGAGTCGATATTATTTGGTTTGCTTGGTGTATCTTTAACAACTGTTGGTATAACTTTGCTATATGAGTTCTATCTAAGAAAGGTAAATTCTATATTTTTAGAATAAAATTGTTTTATATTCTATTCATCTACCCTCAATTATTATATATTAAGTTGTGTATAAAATATATTTATTCTCTTGGATACCAATCAACTTACTAACTTACTACATTGTAGGAGGATGATAAATGCAAATCAATATGTCAAGTAGAGTTCAAAGTGCCTAATTCGAATGTGGCTTTTATTATTGGCAAACAGGGTTGTACAATCCGTGATATAGAAAAGAAAAGTGGTGCAACTATCAATTTGCGAAGACGTATAAACAATAAAAACAATAAAAAATGCGATTCTACAGATAAAATTTGCCTTATATCAGGTTCTGCAGAGGGTGTTAAATTAGCACAGGTTATGATTCAAAACATAATAGACAATATACCTGTTATCGATACCTATGAGTTTTATGTGCCATATAAAGCTGTGAAACACATCTTGGGAAAAGGTAGACAAAATCTACAGAAGATTCAAGAAATTTCCCATGCAAAAGTCATGATCGACGATAGTGATTTAGATTATAAGTCTCGTATGTAACGTTTTATAACGCTTTTATCGATATTATCAATATTATATCTCCGTTTTATTATTGATTATTGTTACTTTTGCTGCAGCTGACCATCCCGCAAATTATTCATATGGTGACCCTTCTAAAGATGGTAAAAAAAGAATAGTAGTACACGGGACCGTCAGACAAATAGAAGTAGCTCTTGATCTCATAGAACAGAAAGTTCAACAGGAAGATGGAGTTGACGCTGTGCTGCAAGAGTTATGTCCCATCAAAGTGTCTGGAGCTCATACAAAACTTTTGACGGATGAAATACGCAACGGCCCTACATTTTCAAAAATTACTCTATCACCATTACCACCAGGCATGTGAAACAATTTATGTTGTACTATTAAACTTTTACCAATTTATGATTTCATGATATATTAGGATTAAAAGAAATATTTTATTGATCATTAAAACTGAGATTTTTTATTTTAATAGATGATACAATGGAAGTGTACGTAAGTGCAATGGAAACACCGGGCCAATTCTGGGTACAAATACTCGGTCCTGGAATTATTTATTTAGAATCTTTAGTCAGCCAAATGTCATTGTATTACGACGACGAAAATAATCGCCCAATGCACATTATGAAAGAGGTAGATAAAAAAATATATAATACTAGTAACGCGCGCGCATTTATGAATATATGAATATATAATTTATAAATATTATAAATAGTATTACATTAATATATTAAATCCATAGTAATGTCTCATATCAGTATATGGTATCTCATATTAATCTTACATTAATATTAATTTATATTGACATAAAATCTAACATAAAATTGTGTATATCTTTAATTGATGTGTTATGTATCTTCAATTTGCTTAATAGCAAGATGTTCAAGGTTGCTACAACATGCAAGCGTTGTACCGAAAATATCGCGTAACTGAATAATACAGAGAAATTGCAGTATACATATGTATATGCGTATCATTATATATGTGTACACATATCATTAACATTAATTAATAACTTGATGATTTTAGATAACTGTGGGTGATATAGTAGCAGCTAGATGCATACAGTTTGATCAATGGTATCGAGGAGAAATAACAAGAATTCTACCAAATTCTCAATATGAAGTATTCCTCTTGGATTATGGAACCTTTTTAGAATGTACCAGAAAGGACATACTTGAACTTCGTACCGATATGTTGAGTTTACGACTTCAAGCAGTGGAGTGTAAGCTAGCAAATGTAAAGCCCATGTAAGTCTATCTATCAATAATTTATGCTTGAAATTATGTAAGATACTGTTCATATTCACATGTAGATATAAATATTACATTATATGGAAACGTGCATGATTTGGCTATTTTTGGTTAGGATATGTTTCCTAATATAGCTGTATAGCCTTCTGTTTTCAGTTTCACACACACAAACACACACACACACACACACACACACATAATGTAGATATCTATTCTCTGATGTAAATATCTTGATACTTGTTTAATTCGTGAAATAATTCGTTTTTAACTGACTGATATTAATAACAGATTCATATTTACAAGCAATGTAGGTAATAATAATACACACATTAAATACTTGAATAAAATCAAAGTTAAAAGATTAAATAACTTTACAAATGTAAAATTAAGAGAATATGCTAAATAATAAATATGTTAAAACTGTACAACTAGATTTTCTCGTATAATAACAAATAACAAAATCAAATTAATTTGTACGTTAAAATAAAAAAAAAGGACAATTGAAATATGTTAATAAACTGTGTTTAATAAAAGTGTATTTTACAGCTACCAGCGTACATATAAATCCGCGATAGTTATACAGAAAGTTGAACCTTCAATTTTACATTTTATCTTGTCTCAATATTTTGTCTTGTGTCCAGTAATTCTTTTCCGTATTTATCTTGTTATCTTGTTACTAGTACCATGAAATATTTTGTATCTTATTTTCATTGAAACGAATTGTTACATCAGAAAAACCAAATGGGACTCGGATGCTTGCAAGGAGTTCATTGCATGTACTTGGCTAGGGCAGTCGAAAGTCATGGACGCTACAATTACAGGTTACATAAAACGTCCCTCTCATCACAGAAGACCTCCAAAATCAGACGCCGTGGTTCTGTGTGTCGAGCTTTTCGATAGACATCAGGTGAGAATGACAATACAAGACTAAGGAGATAAGGGGCGAGAATTCCTTCTAGAATTTTACGTCCATGAAATTCTTGGATTGCAATTAATCCTCAATTCTCAGATCTTCGATATTTTCATTCTCTAGATAGAGAGAACCTTTTTGCATTCGTAATTACATGTCTATAGGCAAAGTTCCATCTTTTAGTAAGTAACTTGTTTATCAAAATCAAACGCTGAGATGATTATATACTTTTTTTCTCAAGTGCTAATATATTTTTAAAATTAAGCATGCGAGTAGTAGCATTTTTTTCAAACAAATTTTACTTAGCTTGTAATTGTATAAAATGTGAATTTTCGAGAAATCTGTGAAATATTTCCTTTATTATTTATCGTTCTAATTACACTTAAATCTTGAGTTTCCATATTATCATAAAGATTGCACTCACAATTGTGGGCTGTAAATTGCTCAAGTTATTTCAAATTATACCGCGATAGTGGAAATGTGTGGAGATAATACCCCAGTAAATGTCAGATGGAAAGAAAGACAAGTACAGCTAACAACTATTGTTAGCGATACAAGTGTTGCGGTCATATTACATGTTTAATAATAAAATAGCAAACTATAAACATTTCGGTGTCTTTATATGTTAGATTGGTGCAAAAGATTCACTATTTTTCTATCAAGTTCTTATAGGAAGTTTGAATACTAAAAGGAAAATAGGAGATTCTTGTTAAATATTTAATGAACAAATTATACCGATTCGATATTGTTCATTTTATTCGTAACAATTATCGAACATGCGAATTGGATAATTTTGTTTTTTATCTTACTTGATAAACGCAATAAATCTCTTACACGCCAATTTAATACATTCGTAGAAATGTGTTGATACAGTTATTTATAAGATGCAATACTTTATCTTAGATTTACGATATTGTAACATTGTTCGATGATATTAATTTTGGAAATTTCTTCTCTCAAATAATCCTAAAATACTCACGGAAGAAAACTTGTCACAGTTGTGCGTATTATTTTAAATCACTCCCGAAATTTATAAATATTTTTTATTATCGCAGAACATTAAAATTGACCAACATCTAATAAGTTTGGCTCTTGCCGAGCTTGATGAAGTTCACCCGGGGACGATGCATCTCGAGACAAATCCAATAAAACGTCAGTTTTTGTCCATTCAACTTCCAAATAAGACCGTATGCTTGACTGCTCATGCGGAAGAAGGGGAGATGAACGAGGATAAGTCGGCACCTTTTTCAAGTATATATAACTCAACAACACCAACGTCAAAGGTAAGAACAATAGACAACGTTATACACACACGATTAATTATGCAAAATTTATGTATGCATATTTTTTCGTGTATTATTTTTATATGTAAGTCTTTCGAAATAAATATTTCATGTTAATGCACGAAAATAAACGATCTCATCGCAAAATGCGATGTAATATTTGTTACAAACTCTTAGACGCAAACGATATTAAAGAATCTCCATTTTTGATTCTATAATTTTACAGAAATCCAATCAGCCAGTTAACACAACTGACTCAATAACATTGGCGAAAGAGTACAATGATATCGTACCAGAGCGGAGGAGTCAGGCGACTACATTAACGTTGGATACAAATAAGGATGATGCAAAACGTGAATCTGAACCAGACGACGTAACAATGAAAAAGGGGCACGGTGACATTGTACCGGAACGGAAGAATGAAGCAGAGATATCAACATCGGGTGCTAATAAGAATGATATAAAAGACTCTAAACCAGACAATGTAACAACGTCAGTGAAGAAGCACAGTGACGTCGTACCGCTGCGGAAGAACGAAGCGGCGGAGATATCAACGTCAGATGCGAGTAAAAATGATGCAAAACCTGAATCTGAATCAGATGACGTAACACCGTTAGAGGAGGAGCACAGTGGCATCGTACCGAAGAATGGAGCGGAGATAACGTCAGATGCGAATAAGGATGATATAAAACCTGAGTCTAAACCAAACGAAGTAACAGTGTCGGTGAAAGAGCACATTAACGTTGCACTAGAGCGAAAGAATGAAGCAAATATATCAATGTTAGATGCGAAGAAGGATGATATAAATCTCGAACTAGAATACTTGCCTGTTGATAACATAGTTGCGACTCAAGTTAATTTGAGATAAATTGAAAGATGACTTGGAGAAAATATGTTTCTTCCTATATTCTAATAGGATTGTAATTTTATATAATATGTATTATATTTTATATATATAGTACATTTTATATATAGTGTATGTGTGCGTGTATATATATATGTATGTATATATGTATATATATATTTATACACGTACAGTTTGAAAATGTGTATGCGTGTGTGTACATATGTATGCACATATTTTCATCGATTTTATCCTATATTTAAAATTAGTAGGACTTACAAACCTGTATTTTTTTCTCTTTGTAATGGAACTGTGTCATATCTTAAAGTCGTTAGGACAAAAATTTCTGTTGGTCTTTTTAGATTTGTAGACATTTAATGTCATTATAGAACCTTCGTCTAGGACATATAAAGCTTTAATTTTTTATCCACAAATATGTTTGCACTATCGAATAAGTGTATCATAAAACAAATTAAGTTTTACAATGAATCTTTTCTGAAATCTTCAATAATGGCATTTATGTTTGTAAGCTTTGTTTTAATGTATTAAAGCTTATGGTAATTATGGAGATTACAACAACTGAAATCATTCTGAACATTATGATTTGTAACATGTTTCAACAGTAAAATTTGCGAAACACAAAAGTACTTGCGTGTAATCATAACTTTGTGATACATATTATCGAATATATACATGCATACGTATATTGGCTCTTTCACGTATGTACATGTGCATACGTGCGCCTGTGTATACGCATGCGGGTGGATATGCTGCGAAATATTTAAAGATCTTTAACCCGTCATTGGCAAGGTGAAATCTAGTGGATTCCTTTCTTCTTTTCTTTTATTATATTTTTATAATTTCTTAAATCTTATAATCTCTCATGATTCTGTGGAACATTGAGATTTAATAACAGCTAACAGAAAAAAAAACTCTGAAGATATTACAAAGATTTAAAAAGAACGAAATGGAATGCGTAGAGTCTTTCAGACCTCACCTTTCCGACAACGAGTTAAACGAAGTTTGGGTTATATTCTGGCTTTTTGTCTTGTAATTCTACATGACTGAAAAAAGGACCAATAACATTGATCTATACTATAATATATAACATTTAATTGTACTTCAATGCATGCGTCTAATAGAGGAAGAATAAACGAATGTAATACAGAGCTAAAGACAAATTGTACTTAGTGAGAAATGACCGATCGACGTCGAAATCGTCAAATCGACATCAATTCGACGTCTTTTCGACGTCTACCGATGAGTCATTTCTCACTGGGTACCTATCAGATTTTTATAATTTATTAAATTTTAAATATGATACAAATATACACGCGCGAATAGTTACAAAGAAGAAATTGATTTTCGTTCATTTTCAAACAGTAAAAGAATAAAAATAGTTTTTTTCTCAATTTGTTGATTCGGTTGTTCAATCATCGACAATATCACGGACGATAGCTAGAGAAAAACATACATAAGGAAAGAGAGGAAGAATCGAAAGTTTGGTCAAAAGAACATCGAAAGTACTGAGGCGTGACTCGAGGAAGAAACGGGTAATTTTTTTCGAGAATTCTGCACGTTTCAGCGGCTGGTAATCGTGACAACTTGGCAACAATTGACTCGCGATGAGATAAACATGGTGCAAGAAGTAGCCAGAAGTAATTGTTTCGAAGGATTAGAAAGCTGCGACGAAACGAAATGTATAAAACGCCAGCGACGAGACCTCTCTCTTTAGTTCAGCGAATCAAACTGTTGAGTTGTCAACTTTCAGCACACGATAAAGACGATGAATAATTTGGTAAATAACAAATTTATCATTAAATTTGATAACATCTCTTTTCGCCACTATGAGACAAATTGAGATCGAGTATAACTGAAAATATCATTTTTCGATAATGAGATGAAAAATACCCACCCAGATAGCACAGAGAATTCAAAAAGAATTCAAAAAGAATTTAGTCGTATGTCACTAATTCTGAGTTCACATTTTCAGATGTAAAAAGAATTCTTCAGAGTTCAGTTCAGTGAAAAGAATTCTTTTTGTATCTAAAAATAAACTCAGAATTAGTGACGTACGACTGAATTCTTTTAGAATTCTTTGTGCTATCTGGGCAGATAACATGCATGTTTAAAAGATATCTTTTCGACATCTTTTAAATATGCATGTTATCTGGGTATGTACCAGACACTTGTTGCTCGTCGCTGGCAAAAGCTATGAAGCAAATAATTAATCGAGATAAAAAGATATCTCGAGAACGACAAAATTTGATACCATACTCTCACTGTTTACGAACAAGCAATTTATTTTGTTTTCTTTTATTTAGAGTACCACGTTGTCGCTGTTGTGTGTGGTTTGCAGCGTGCTAGGTGGTCGCCGTTACATCGCAATTCCCGTCGACAGCATCGATGGTATCGACGTAATCGAAGTGAATTCGATCGCACCATCATTGTCAAGAGTAGCTCGACAAACGGAGGCGTACATCGGTGTACCGAGCGTTATTCATCAGGATGATTTGGAACATTCCGAGCGATCAACGACGCGTATTCTGGATTACATCGATTTCGGAGGACATACCGGCTCCAACGGTGCCTTTAGTTGGTACGCCGACTATCCGGCTCGTCGTTTGTGATACTTATCGCAGCTTTATCGCGAAACAATATGAGAAAGAATTTGCAACATCACTCATACGGTGTATTCGTTGTAAAACAGAAACTGTGTAGAGAAAATTTTCTGAAGGATGCAGCAAGGATTTGATTTGTAGCCGTGATTTAAAGAATTTGGAAACTCGAGAAAATTGGTGACTCGTTGACGATAGATTAGAGTCCTAACATGGACGTAAGAATATATGGATGGAGCGAATTGCCGCGGGGCTGAAGCCCAAGGAGTGAGGGAAATGATTGAATATATTGCAATGGAGTTGCAATGGAGTTGGAATGTACCAAGCACAGACTTCTATGGCTGCGTTCTGATATTCATTGCCAATACTGAAGATCTATAGTATACGTGACATGAACTATAGATTTTCAGTACTGGCAGTGAATATCGGAACGCAGTCTATATATAAACTAGACTGCTAATACCCGTATTTAGCGAGTGGTCGGAAAAATACATATATGTAATACTACTATATTGCTAATCGCCTTATGCTGCCTATAAGAGGAGCTTGTCCCAGAATGGTAGGACAGACGATGTTCGAGGAGTATATTTTGACCGTAGTGCGCAGGCGCGGCGATCAGATGATGTTATATACATAAAGTAAAAGTGCCAGTGTGTGACATGTATCTAATCTAGATAGCTGTTTCCTTACCTGTGTAAAATGATATTTTCATTCGCAGCTGCTTTTTTTTCGCATAAATAGTATTTCCGGGTGCTCAGCATCTCCGGGTTTATAGCATATGGTATATATAACCTATTATATGCAACTGAGTATACAATATATTTTATTTTCCCATTGACGGATACGATTTATCTGACGCATGCGCATAACGTTCATAATATACTTAGAAAGATAGAGAAATATATATTCCCGCACCGTGGTTCTGGGACTTCTCTCTCCATTAGCAATATAGTAGTATTACATATATGGAAAAATATCGGGCGGCCATCTTTGAAAGGATCGTATCATATAGGACATGATGTAAGAATACAAGAGGCGATTTTTGGCGATCGTTTGGTACATGTACCTGGTTGTCATTGGCCTGGTTTACATCGTCAAAACGTTAGTACGCGTATTAAATTTGATGCGCGCCAATGTTTTAATACGGGTGCGTTTACATCGAACGTACTAAAGGAAAAATATAATACGAATTTAATTCATGCTTATTGCTTCCTAGTGGCGATATTTGGAATTGCAATTTGCTTGAGATAGCTTTGTTCGATAGTCAGAATGCATAATTCTAAAAATGTTACCGTTTCTTCTTTTCTCTAACTTATAACCCTTTTTACAAGACATTTTACTATAATATACTTTGAGAGAAACCAACGATTATCGATAACACTGATTTTAACTAGGTTAGATTCCCTCCAACATTCATTTCATACGTTTACATCGTCATTTGTATCATTTGATACGCATATTAGTTTAGTACGATACTCCTACTTAGTACGCTCGTACAAAATTGATCTGTCAGTGTTTATATTGTGCGTATTAAATATTTAGTACGAATTTGATACGAATATAGTACCTGGGAGTCGATTCTGTATCTCGAAACGAAGTGAAAATTACAAAAGTGAGCAAATATACTAGAATATTCGTAATTTCATTGGTCAGTGCCTAGTGAATGTGCTCACTTTTGTAATTTTCACTTCGTTTCGAGATACAGAATTGACTCTCTGGTACGCGTATCAAGTGCCCGATGTAAACTACGCTATTGGCTTGGTTTACATCGTGCACTTGATACGCGTATTAAATAGTAACTTTCTATTAGATAATCTTAATATCAACGATATACATAAATATCCGAATGTTTTATTTACTGATTGCTTTATTCTGATTGGTTGTCGTAATCACATACAACCACTTACAACCACGTTCACGCAATTGTAGAATGGGCTTCACATTCGCTTCTTCTATCGAGGTAGGGCAGTAAAAGCTTAAGCACTTATAAGCGCTTATTTTCCAAAGAGAACGATAAGTTAGATTGCGTCGATTTCATCGACGCAATCTAACCTCCAATATAAATCTTAAAGTGAAATAGTGTTTCAAAATAATAGTGTTTCAAAATGACTTCTAAGGAGAGTAACAAAACCAGAGTAACTCTGCAAGATGTTACAAATAATAAAATGTATACACTTGTTGTTACATCAGATGAGGCAAAACGTGTAGAAACAGGTAAGTTTAGGACATCTCTCATAAAAATTTATTATTTTTGTTATTAAATCATATTTATTTTGAGTAATAAAGCACTGTCCAACAGTAATTAAAAAAAAATAAGTAATATTTCAGCAACACTAGTAATACATTTGATGAAGGAAACGGACTTTCTCACAAATTTATTGTATCTAAATCTTCATATTTTGTTGTATAAAACATGAATATGAAAGTTAAAATTGTTGATCTTAAATAAAACAAAAGTTATAAAGTGAAAAGTTATTAAAATGTGACTTAAATACTTCATCATTGATCCAATCATTTTATTGATCCAATCATTACGGATAAATATTTTTCTAATTCTTCTTTATATAAGTTATTTGTTTCGTTATCATCAAAAACATCTAATGAAACTAATATTTAAGCAAATACACAAACAATTTCCTTATCTTTATCCTCCATTTTTACGCTCACAATTGCTTACAACAGCCAAAGGAAACTGTTATGATTTTTTCGATGAGTGCGCTTAGAAATAAAAGTAACCGAGCAAAAATAGCGCTTATAAGCGTGAGCGCTTTAAGTATGTGAGCGTCCAAAACGAATGCACCCATAGTCTAAACTAATACGATTAGACCTGACATCTTACTGAACTAACCACACACACACACACACACACGCACGCGTGCACGCACACGGGAGCGGTGCACTTGGACACGGTGCATTTGGACACAGCCAATCACAGCACCGTGTGATTAGAGACATTTGTAGGGTCCCTTGGAACAGCGACTTGTGATTGGACTGTGTCTAATTGCCCCGTGTCCAACTGATATACACCCCACGCACACACACCGTTATAGATACTTCCTATATTTATTTTTCTTATTTATTATTATTATTATTATTATTTTAATTACTCAGTTTCTTTAATACATTTCCAATGAGAAATGACTCGTCGATCGACGTCGAAAAGACGACGCTATGTTTACATGTATATATATTTACGTTTTGTCGCCACGCATTGCGGTCATAGAACACTTACTCCACTCTTTTCTAGTAAGCCAATTACCGTCCATCTTCTATCCTTCAGTCTTCTTTTACTCTCTCTTATGGCAAAAATTTTCTACGCGCCATATATTAATATTACATACATGGACACATTTATTACATAAATTCAGTGTACTTTCAAATGATATTTAAAATAAATCCTTTTAAATGTAAAAAGTATGTTTAAAAAGTATGTAAAAAGTATATTTTAAAAATATTTACTTGTTTTAAAAGTAAAATACAAATAAACCACTTTGTAAATTTAAATAAATTGTTTTCTGATAATAAAAGAAACTTTAATTTAAAACACAAAAAAGATACTTTTAATATTAGAAAATAATTTATTTAGATTTATAAAATGATTTACTTATATTTCATTATTTTTAAATTTACTTGTATTTCATTTACTTTTAAAACAAGCAAATATTTATTTAAACACAGTTTTTACATTTAAAAAAACTAATTTTCTTCTTATAAGGAAACCATTTGCTTATCCTTATGTATAGATAAAAAATATATATAGATAAAAAAATTTTTTTAATCAAAGAAATTATTTTTTATCTGTAAATTCATAATTTTACAGCTTATCTTATAAATAAAAAATGTTACTTCATATTTATTACATTTTCTAAAATCTAACAAATATTTTTTTAAGTTAAGAAATTATATTTAATAAAATATATTTCTTTAATTTAAAGAATTTTTTTAGTGTACATTACCGATTTAAATTTTGATTTTTTTACTTTTTTTTATTAATTTAATAGTTATAAATAATTACATTTATTTTTCTCATTTATAATATTTATAAATAGAAATATTTATAAAATATTACTATAAATATTTGTTGTTTACTATAAATATTGTATAAAATATTTAGTTTATATTTTAATAATATTTTGAATAAAGATTTTGATACTTGTTCCCTTTATGTACTTAAAATATTTATAAAATATTTATATAATATTTATAAAATATTTATATAATATTTATAAAATATTTATATAATATTTAAAAAAAATAATTCGACATAATTATTTATAAATATTTATAAATATTGTGTGCTGTTTGGGTTGTTTAATTTATCTCCGGCCATTATTTCGGCTAAATGCATGGTCCAAAAATAAACAATTAATTACAATTAATAAAACGATCCACAAATTTTTTCAATTGCACTTCAAAACTCTTCATACGAAATACAAACGATTTAAAAGAGTAGTTTTCCAATCGGCGATTTTTTTCGGTCAAGTACATACAAATCATTTCGAAGCATTGTTAGGGCACCGTCCCACGGGGCGGAAATTTTCAGCGAAACGGAACGTGCAGAGTTATCACGATCAATCACAGCCGTTCCGCTTTTCTTCCGGCGCTTTTTCTATTTTCTTTGTGTCCCATGGAGTGGAATACGCGGAAGTGGATCACGCGGAATAATACAAAAAGTAGACTTTTTAATGTTATTTCTTACATTTTTAATAATTTTAATAATATTTTATACAAATGATATAATATATGATAAATTAATAAAAAGTAAAATTAGTTTCTCAGTAAAATACTTTTTATGAAAATATGCAACTATTTTACAATTGGCTAAAACATAATTCCGCTGCCGCGTTTACCGCTTCATGGGACAGAAAGAAAAGTACATCAGCGGAATTGCGATGATACATTATGTAGTATAATAAAGTGAGGTCTGTCGTGATTAATTATGGAGAATATATTATGTGATTTTTGTCGACTGTGGCTGTTAATTAAACATATAAACATATTCACATATTATACATAATTGTTTACTACAATTATCAAAATATTAATATCTTATTACTTACGATCACTCCACTCATCATTTCTAAACGAAATAATAAAGAATGTCGAAAAAGAAATATATATATGTATAATAAATGTATAAGAAGCAAATGAGATATGTAAGATATATTGAGGTTATCTACGACTATCTTTATGACTCTTGCACACATATTGATTGGCTGTCGCACGAACTTCCGCCGCGCGGCAAGCATTACCGCGTCCTGTGTGCAGGAGCCATTAGGGTGCCATTACATGAAGTGGGGAAACGCGGAAACGCGGAAGACAAAATCTTACTAGATTTTTGCGTCCCGCGAATTGAATAATTTCTCCCCGTATGTTGAAAAAGCGGAAAAGCGGAAGGCCCAAAACTTTTCTCTATTGTCTTTTCATCCAAGATACCAAGGTATGAATTCCAAAAAAATATCAGGTCCGAACGTGTTTGAACACGTCTTAATGTAACGGTGGTTAGGTTGAACAACTTATGATAACTTGTGACAATTTGTGACAATAGATTTTTCCGCGCTTGTTCCGCGACTTTATTTCTCCTTATATTACATGGAGCACAATTTGCGCGGAAAAGCGCAACGGTTTGGTGACAAATAAATCTGTATTCATTTTTTAAAATTATATTAACTTAATTTACCGCAATTTTTACTAATATGTTTATCTTTTCAGCTTATGTGTTGAATACAAGCATTTTAATTAATAAATACCGTTAAAAATTAATATTTTATAATTGCCCATATCGCTTTTCCGCTCAAAATATACCTCATGTAATATAAGGCAATCAAAACAGACGCGGAACGCATAGCGGATCTAGTAAGATTTTGTCTTCCGTGTTTCCGCGTTTCCGCGCTTCATATAATGGCACCCTAATGGTACTCTTATTGATAAGAGAAAGTTCAAAATTAGGTGGCTAAGCCATATATTGAAACTGAAACTGAAACTGAAAGTTCAAAATAAGGGTCTAAGAATATACACTAATCAGATTCACGAATTTGTTACGGCTGCAAAGTAGCTTTTTTTCGCAGCCATTCTATTTACATATTCATGTAGCTATGTGTAATACAATACATTCTCCGCAGCTCTTGTATTGTCTCATTAGCTACGTCAGACGAGTGTGTGATCTCATTATTAAAAACACGAATTCTAGTAATTGATTAAAAGGGATCATTTTTGGTAGACCCCGAGTTTATTCTCGTGGCATCCCTACATGAAAACGTGCCTGATGATTACCGTTTGTCGTTGTGGCGTTGGCAACCTTGCGTTGAAAGCGTCGCGTCGTTTCGTCGTCTGCATCGCGCTGCAAGTGACAGCTCGTGCGTGTTATTGACACTGAACGCGACGCGACGCGACGCGACGCGAAACGCTCTCACGAAGAACGAATAATCCGACGCCAAGCGATCACGACGGCGGTGGGCGCGCGCGATGCTGCGATGCTTCGTGCGGCGCCGTGAAAGCCGAACGTGGCCGAAGCGGCCGACGGCGCTCGATCGAACGTCTTCGTTGACGGTGCGTTCGTGCAGTCTCAGGCCGCACTGCCGCCTTCGGACTTGTTCGTCTTTTACGATTTTTCGTACTTTTCGCTTCGCATCGTCACGTGAAGCCCACTAACGATCGGATCGTTTCGTCTCTGCGGTCGCCGCTTCGTCCGCGCCCTTTTCACATCTGCAACACTTCCCATGCACGATAGTATCGGCGCTTTTCCGCCGCACGTCGGTAAAATCGTCGCGATAACTATCAGAACATTCTTGTAACGTTCGACGTCATTCTCGTGATGCACAGTATGTTTTTTCGCCACGACGATTACAACGTCTCGTAATCATCGACGAGAGATCGAGAACGCGCATGATTGATCTTTCCGAGTGTTTCCGTAGAAAATACTTTTCGCTTGATGACAGTATTATTACCACTGTATATTTTCTTGCTAAGGATTTCCCGACAATTTTTCTCGCTGATACTTCGCGTTTGGAAGGATAAATCCTCGGCTGATTAAGGGAAATCTCCCCTGATGTCTCGGAAAATGCAAACTCGTTTGTGAATTTATCACAAATTTCCCTCAACGAGGTGAGTTTTTGCACGTTTCTTTGAAAGATCTTATTGTAGCTATGTGTAATACAATGCAAATGAAGCATTGCAATGTCTATAGTGGCACCCACAGATACTACATCAGTAAACGTATACATAGTACAAAAGCCACATTGGTATAAATTTTTTTATATAAATGCAACTCCCTCCTGTTTCCTCCCTATGTGTGTGTGCATGGAATAAAATAAATATTTGTTTATACTTCTGCAATATATTATATATTTCTTTTTAATTATGATGGAATTGTGTTCTATTGAACAATAACAGTACAAATGTAAAAATATAGAACAAGATTTAGTATAATAGTAGTAGTACAAAATATCTAAAAATATTATCAAGCATGAAATTATGTAATGCTTAATAACACAAAATAATCTCATGAATCAGATGCTTATATAGCTGTATAGTTTAAAGTGCAAGTATTGGCTCAGAACTTTGCCTTCTACAATGTATGCACATGTGTGTGTGTGTGTGTGTGTGTGTGTGTGTGTATACATATACACACACACATGTATCCGCGACAATCTAAATAATCCATGAGATGTAACCTTTTGTAGATAATCATCTCAGGTAGCGTTAACAGTTCATCACTTTTTTTCCCTTTGAAAATCAATATTAAACTTTGCAGAAAGAAAAAACGGAGAGATGCCACGTGAAGAAATTTAGTTGATTGAAACGAAAACTACTGCCTTGTATTTAGAAACAAGCGTATCTCGTGGGGAAAGAAAAACAGGGTGAAGGGGACAATAGAGAATTCGGTATGATCCGTGGTGGAAGTAAAACCCGCTCGAGAATATTAGGCGGGGTGGTGGAGGCATGGAAGCCGAAGCTGGCCGACCGTCTCTTCAGAGGCTCTTCAGAGGCACCTTGCCATCTCCGGGAATACCCGGATTAGATGTCATAAGAGCCCTGCATCAAGTATGACTCATCGTATTTTCTTTTTCAATAATATGTTACTCTCCGAGACTTTTAATAGATCTAAAACTCGAACATTAATACAAGATTTCCTTGTATTAATCCTTAATTCAAGGTTGCCTTGTGGTTAAATTAACATTAATATCACATTTCAATATCTATAAAAATATAACCATCTTAAGCTAACTTAGTATTAATGTGTTGCTCTTTGATAGAGAAATTATTCTAATCTTGTGCAAGAAAATTAATTTACTGAGATATCATAGCAACGTTTTAGTAGTAATAATATTTTGATGTTATGCAGATATATATTTTTAAGCTTAAAATTTTGAGCTTCGCTCAGATCTGCAAGATTCAGTTTGTTGTATCTGCTAATTTAATTTAAAACTTATTGCGAAATTTTTTTTGTAGCAATTGTACAAGTCTCTCTTAGACTTTTATTGTTCTGAATTTTTACAATCATACCAATTATCTGTAACTTTATTGTTTACAAATGCTTTGTCCAATTAAAATTATTCATACAACTGACACAGTAAGCACAAAGACTTATTTACTTGATGGAGATCGCTTGTATACAACTTGTTTTGGTAATTCAGACGGTCGTGTCGTTGCGTTCGGCCTTGGACTCATCGCGAGAGGAACTTCGTCGTCTACAAGAGAGCGTCGGGACTTTCTCTGGCGAGAGTTACATTGACGCAGTCAGCCGCCTGGCCCTCGAGAATCACGTACTCAGGCGAAGGATCTTGAGCAGAAGCTGCGAGTTTTCCAGCGATGCAACAACCAGTCCACCACCTCAACCCAGACGCGTTCGATTGATCGTTCGAGAGACCGACACAGAGTAAGCACGACTTGGTCGCTTCTTTTCGGCGCAAAAAGAGCGAAATAAATTTAATAGTCGAGACCCAACCCCCTCTTATGTCCCAGTCAACACTTGGATTCTGCGAAGACCAGTATGGACGTGTCTAAGAAAAAGGCCGCCGCTAGCGATATCCAGAATACAATCGATCAGCCTGCCTCTGGACGCAGCAGTAGTAGCAGTAGCGGCAACGACAGTCCTGATCCATCATCACACGCCAGTCGAGCCAGCAAACTTCAAACTTCATCGAAATCTCCCAAAAGCACGACTAGTTCGAAAATTATCGAGCCCGCACCTATGATGCTGAACGTTCCTCCAATCGAAAATCACAAGTCTTCGACTTCGACAACAAATGCGATTAATAGCGAAGAAGAGTCGCGAGTGGAAGGAGTCTCAGGTAAAGTAACAAACAAGTCTTGTGATTTGTGTCATCTCGATGAACGAATGTAATAACAGCGACAAGATGCAAACAATATATAATAACTAACTATTCTTCTCTGTAAGGAAAAATCGGCGATTAAAAATAGACAAGTACGACTTGTGTGACAAATGTTTCGCGCGGAAAATAATCCACGTACAAAGAAGAACAAACATCACACTTGTCTCTCAAGAGATTGCTTCGCTTGAAGGTATTTTCGGAAGTAACCTCGAGAAAAATCAATCGTTCCAGGCGACACGGTTAATGTGGATCATCTCGACGTCCCCGATAAGGATACCGAGGACTTGAGTCTAAAGTCCATTTCTGACGGTGACAATTCCGTGTTCAGCGACCATGTGGAGCAAACGCAGCTGTCTCGGCAGGGTCAGCAGCAGAGTGATCCCTCGAGAGAACGGCCGAACGAACACTCGGAGAACGAATCGGAGGAACTGGATGACATCGAACTGATATTCACGACGGACGAGACTTGCCGCGATCTCGGTCTGCAGGAGGACTTGGTGTCCATTACGGAGACCGAGACCTGGCAACAGGCTAGCGCTGGTACCACCGGCCAGCCTGTTCTTCTCAAGTACACCAAATCGACGGAGGGTGGTGAGTCGCTAGTCTGTAACGGCGATAAAACCAGCTCCGTTGAGGAGGCCGTCTCCTCGCAGAGCTCCAGCATCGACCGCGAGGAGAGCGTCGATAGATTCGACGAGAGTTCCAGTACCAGGCTCAACAAGATGTGGTCGCAATGTTCTGTCTTAGTCGAAACGGACATTAGCAAGTGCGGTGTACTGGAGGACACCGAAGGCACGGCTGGATCGTCCTTACGGCACGCCGCGAGAAGAAACACCCTGGCTGCACCACCCACAGCTTATAGGTGATGATCTAAGATTCTTTCAATCTCGACTATCTTGCCGAATCTAAGAAAAAATCGCCGTTAGCCTTCTCATCTTTTCTCAGACCCATTATTCATCGGGAAGCTTTGGTAGCTGGTAGTCGAAGAAAGAGCTCCGCACCATTGCGACCGGTGATGGACCGTAGCAGCAGCGGCGCCAGAAGAGAATCCGGCGCCCAGACGGACATATCCGCGCTGCCAGCACAATGGCGCTCTGAGAGCTATTTGGCGCACAAGGTCGCGCATACTTTTACGACGCTGCCGAGTAAGTTCGCGCTGCCAACGGGAGTGCCTGGCCGGCTGAGGCTGTCGGACAAGACTCGAGAAGCTAGGAGAGTCATGTTGTCGGACATCAGTTTCACCAGCATGGTGCCGGAATTGTCGAGGAGCGCGGATCACCTATGCCATGATCCACACGCTCAGGTAACAGACGCAGATTGCAAAAACACTCATTGATATAATGTGTCATCGATGATATAAAGAATATTCGTACGAGATATTGAATCGATGGTGTTGGAACACCATGTGTCCGGCGCACGTGTAGTTTCTTTTTCTTCCTCTTCTTAGACGTGCTTCAATTCGCGCGGCTGTGGTCTCCGTACACCGGAGGCTCATCGGCGTGAATCTTTAGGCTCTCCCGCCGGATATTGGCCACGTTGCAATCCCGCGACGGGTCTGCCGAGTCCTTGCGATTGTCGCTTGTCGAGCGATCTATATCCGTCGCGATACCGCGGCTCCTTGTCATCGATACCGTCGCCAGGCCTCGAGGTGGTCGGCGGTCCTCCGCGGAGGCATTCCTGGAGAGCGACAGCAGCATCTTTCGATACGTGGAGGATGCCAGTCGCGACTTCTACGCCGCGACCCACGTGGTCCTCGATGCCATCATCTCCAACACACGTACATCCCCCAACAACCTCCTCCAGAGCCTTGAAAAATGTACCAAAGAGGACGCGATCTAAGGTGACCTTCCAAGGTATGGTGCTCTTCGACGCGCGTTTCAAGCCAAGTTACATAAGCGCATAAGCACTTATTACATAGGCGCATAAGGAGGAATTTAAGTTGATCTAGGAGAGTACTCAGAATTTTTCTTTTTTATTTCCATATTCTAGGTGATTTGCAGGAGCTACTACTTTTCCTTAAATTAGATGTACAACAAGGATTGAATGATGCGTTAGCGTGTGTTTTCTGAACGTCTATCTTTGATAGACGCCTCATAATGTCAACGGCCCTGAGGCGGAGAGCCACGACGACGACCGTCAGTTGCGAAAGCACCCGGCAAGGGAAAGTAAGAGGCGTAGCTCCTGAAAATCACCTCAAATACGAAAATAATTTCGAACACTGATGATCTAGTAGGAAGTAATGAAATTCAAAAGTGAAGAAAGATGATGATTTGCAGAATGTCCAATGACGCGCGGTAGTCTACCTAACTTGCATTCGGACTCAGTCGGTGGTGAGAACAGCGGAGATTCCACCGAGTCGTTAATTGACGAAGCCGAGGATTACCTGCGACGAAGTATCGACTCTATGCTGACGATATCAAGCGCCAGCACAGACTATTGGAACAAACAGACAGCGAAGCGAAGAAGAGCCCGTAGACACTCGGAGCCTGACTTGATTCGCGATTGGCATCCTCCTCAGGATGCTAGGCCATACTTGCCAAAGGTATTTGGCAATATATTTTCGCTCAGACTATTTTCATGCGTCAACGGGCCAAATGTGGTGGAAACGTTCACAATCGCACGTAAATCATTGTCTCTCTGTCAGATACCAAGGGACCTCAAACTGGATCATCTCGTGAAGGTCATATCGCCGGAGGGTAGAGTCCTCCAAGGTCGTGTGAGGTATATAGGTTCTGTTCCAGGCCGGGAAGATCCACACGTGGGCGTTGAACTGCCATATCGCAACGGTTCATCCGACGGTACATTTCATGGCAGAAAGTTCTTCGAATGGTAAGTTTGTGAACTCATGATACCGATGAAAATATTTTTTTGTTTTGTCTTCTTCTTTCATTTAAATTGTACAATTGATTCCAGCCTTCCTTCTGGCTGGAATCAAATTGGTCTCATTTATCTTGATTTTAATAAAGCATAAATATCTTTCGACAGTGAACCAAATCGAGCGATTTTCGTTCCATTCAAGAAGGTGGTACTCGCCTGGTGCACTACTTGACCCGCACTCACCTCTGCGGCCACTACCCCTCGTATTTTACTCTCCCAGTACACCATGTAAAAGTCGAAGAAACGTAAGTCGTACTTACAATCTCTGATGAGATTCAGTTGCGATAACGTGATTTTTCCTAATCTCCGGCGATTAATTCTCTTATTCCCACGGTGGAATTGTCATTACGTGTTCAAATCGCTAATTGCATCTGCACCTACACTCGACAGCACGCACGTTGAAATTTACTAAAAACCGCGCCTACATCATCTTTACAGTCTATCGTATGCCACAACGAAAATGTAATCAATATAATATCAATGTAATCAGTACACACGCATACATGCGCGCGCACGCGCCTACACATACAGACAGCTCGCTCCGTTTCATATTTTCGGTGGATCATCACCACTGCCTGCGGGAATAGTAGCGACGAGTTCCGCGACATCGATGTCTTGTACTGTGTCTAATCTCCTAAAGAATATCTTTCTTATAACTACGCGAGAAGTCGGCGAGGTGTTTCTCGGCAATAACTTTGAAAAACTTGAATCGAATATACCTTACTGGCTGCTAAATGTAGACAAACACAAGCATATTAATAAAACGCTCAACGATGAAAGATCGATTGGGAATGAGAGAATTAAATTACAACTTCACGTATGATTTTTCAGTTCAGTTGAAGTAAGAGAAGGAGGCGCGAGTAGATAAATCAGCCGCTAATTAATTTTCACAGCGGACATAATCAAAACTATCGATAGTTCCCGTCAATGTTCGAAAGGCTAACTCTGGTGCGGTGAACGCTGACATATTTTATTACACGGCGTAGCACACGCATTGTGATCGTATTCTCACGCGAGCAATCTCGACGAGCCGTTAACGTTTGTTCACCGCGATATTATGACATTTAGTTGTTAAGGAATTGTCTTCCTTGTTTCCAACAAGGAACATATACACAAAACAAATTGTTTTGGCTACCGCGATTAACTGATTATTATTATTAGTCACAAATACACACATCGAGAGAAAAGATGCGCGCGCGTGTCAGTCCGTTATTATAGAACGTCCCTTTGTCAAGATAGAAAATTGATTTTTCTCGTTGAATATTTTACACGACAGATTGTTTCTCTCCCTGCGTAATACGACAGTTACTAATAAATATTACTTTTTAGTCTATCCTAGTATACAGGATATCTCAGATCACCTTCTCTCGTGAGGATGTGGAGCGGATTGAGGTGAACACAAAAGTCCTATACTGTTTTGCGATATTCTCAATAATAACCGAGAAATTAATTGTAAAAGATTAAAGAAAAACGCACGCTGAATGATTAAGGGAGGAGCGCTCGTGACCCAGTAATATAGCAGGCAGATGTCAGCGCGCGGCTTACATCGCTACGATCTTACGTCTTGCCGCACCGTGTCGAGCCGAGATGTAGGAGTGCAGTAATATAAATATAGGCAGTGGTGCGTTGTTTTTCCAATCACCGCGTTCTTGACATCCGTGCGTTATATTATTAGGCCACGAGCGCTTCTCCCTCAACCATTCAGCGTGCGTTTTTCCTTAACGTTTTACAATTAATTTCTCGGTTATTATTGAGAATATCGCAAAATGGTATGGGACTTTTGTATTCATCTCAATCCGTTTTACGTCCTCACGAGAGATTGTGAAGGTGATCTGGAACACCCTGTATAAAAATATCGTTTTATTTTATTTCTACATTGGTAATCGAACATACAATTTAACAGTCAATATCCACTGCAAAAACTTGTTCTCGACGTGTGTGTTTTTAAGCGAGACTAAAATGAATAGAGGAAACTGAGATCCAACTCTCAAGACGCGCGGCCGTAACGAATATAGATTCCTTATCAATCTAATAATATCTCATATATCGCGCGCGTTGCTTACGAATTCACGAGCTTTCGATGAACAAATGTTTTAGTGTACGTATGTATATGTATTTTATGTATATGTATACTTATATCTGTACATTTTAAAGAGACACGCGTATATATAAAGTGTGGGCACTACACTTGGCTGTATAAAGACAAATATTACGTATACCCGAGGCAATTACTTACCGTTTTATCGATGAATCCGATACGTTTGATTTGTTCGGAGAGCAAGGAGGACCGGTCGATGCATCGATTCCGCTGAATTTCTAGATTCATAGATATTCCTAGCTGAATGTTAACGTAAAGACAAAAAAATAATAAAAACAAGGAAATTGTTGTCAGTCCCCCTCACTATTTATTGTAATCGTATAACAAGTATCAGAAAATAAAGAAAATTGAATTATAATGCAAGATCATCCTTCGCGAATCTTTCATGCTTTTTCTTTTTTTCTCAAGATTTCTCGGCATCTTGATGTTAAAACATTAACGACATTAACTTGCCTGCTTCGAAAGAAACATTTCATCTATATATAGTAGAGTCCTAAATATTAGAGACCTTCAAGCAGAGACTGGCTACCGGAGATCTACGTGTGATTCGGGCACGAGATGAATGCCCGAAAAAATGGCGGCACCAATATAAGCATCGACATATAGTACTAGACGGAGTATTGTGCCGAAATCGTATTGACAGACGTAAAAAGAGACAAGACGATGTGTGGGTAGGAGCGGTTTATGGAGCAACGGGGTCACGAGATATTTACAATTCTATTATTTTAATTAATTTTTTTTATAACAGTAAGAATATAGGATATAAGGTAAAGGTGAAATATAAAAATGTTTATAAAATAAATAAGAAATTTGTGATATGCAGGATATTCCCAAAAGGTGGTACCAAATTTTAGGGGTATGTAGTACTTGTTAAAACAAACCAAAAAGTCTTAATGAACAGTACACTCCGAAAACCTTTTATTTCTGAATTATGAAGCATTTTCTTCTATGAAAAATAGAAAATAAATCTACAATAAATGTTCCATGTGCCTTCGGCTCGTGTCATATATATATATATATATATATATATATATATATATATATATATATATATATATATATATATATATATATA